GGGGGGGGGGGGGGGGGGAAGGGGTGACGTACGGTTGCTGAGATATTTATGCCGATTTGTGTAGGCTATAGATGTTAGCCTTGTCTCCCTTTATGTCATTGTTGAAATTTTTTTCTTCTGTATTTTTATTTTTATTTAAGACGTTCTGAAGCATAGCTTCCCGAGCTAAGTGCCCCTTGGACCCCCACCCCCACCCCCACCCCTACCACCCCCACCACCATTCTGCCCGTTGCACGATATGAACTGATTAAGAAATTAAAGCAATTTAGAGAGCGCATTCCACTGCCCTTTTATCTTATCCTGGCAGTTGGAGATACACAAATGAATAGAAAATGTTGTTTTTCTAAAAATTGGTCTTAAATGTTAGACTCCAAATTTAGTCTACTTCAGCTCGGGTTTTATTCACGTACTGGCTCGTCTACAAAGTTAAAGTAAGTACTGATGTTAATTATAAGCTAGGTCTCTTCTGTTATGGAACCTGTACAGCAGACGCAGGGTTCCATTTTATTGTACTACTACCGATTTATTATGTGTCAAAGTGAACAGAATATCTGATATAAAACTTTGGGCCAGTTTGTCTGCCTCTTTTGTGAAACAGTCCCCCCACCCCCAGTGATAGCTTTTTTGGATTTACAATGATATTAATCAATGGCAGATTTAGGGGGTTCATTGGGGTCCTGACCCTCCACCCCCACCCCCTTCGATATCTGAAAAAATTCACACCAATTGTCCCCTTTTGCAATTAGAATTTTGACTAGCGGAATCATAGTTATAAACTGTATTAAATGGCACTGTTCGCCCTCTAAAATACCAAAGTTTTTCGGGTACCTTCACCGGGCTCCGAACCCCACGTAAAGGGAGGGGGGGGGGGGGTCGGCTTCGCATCCACGGCCCCCATTCAAATAATCCTGGGTCCATCCCAGCTAAGTGTTTTCTGAATAAAAGAACTCACACTCTTAAAAATTCATAAGAAAAAAATGTACCCCGGTTTTTTTGTGATTTCGTTCAATCAGGCTAATCTAAACAGAGGCCTTAGTTTTATTTTATTACCTTACAGCGTTTTCAACAAATTAAACCCATTTTATGGTCAGCTTCAGGCTGATTTATGGCAATTATTGCAGCGTGGTATAGTCGTTAAGCGCGTACAGATAGAATCTAATCACAAAATTTGATGTTACTGTACACGTTCAGCCCGAGTTATCCCAATTCGTGTGCACCTTTAACTTGTAAACAACTATTTATATTTATAGTTACTTCCGCATGGGATAGAAAGTTTAAAATGATGACGCACAATGCACAGTAAAAACACTTTAATGTCACTTCATTCGTCTGGCAAATCATAGTTTACATTTTGCAGCGCATGTTATCTTTATTTTCTTAAAGCGGAATAACAACTAAAAAAAAAAAAAAAACGTTTGCAACAGTGTTCCTCTTAAGATCCGTACAGTAGTGGTTGGCGCGACTTCGATCATTAACCGCAGAGACTAAGATAAAGCAGAGGCTTTCATATGGAGAATCTAGCCACAAAAATATCTAGATAAATAATTGGAATTGTTCACGCACCCTTTTCTCGTAGCAGCCGTAACGCTCCTGAGTGAGAGAAAAAAAAATGCTGTGCTGCGTCTTTTTCTCACTAATGTACATGTACATATACGAAAAGTGATCTTACACGATATATAAAGTAACAAATTAACGTGACTCACACAATTGTTTTATTGTTTTATTTTTTGCCGAGTACGTTTACCTAGTGAAAGAAACGTACGGGTGTTTTGTCTTCAGTCTGCCCCAATGCAGATCCGAGGTACATGTACATCAGACGACCACCAACTTGTTATATTACAGACCAACCGAAGTACCAGCAACCAGAAGTACCACCAATTTGTTATTTTACAGACCAACCGAAGTACCAGCAACCAGAAGTACCACCAATTTGTTATTTTACAGACCAACCGAAGTACCAGCAACCAGAAGTACCACCAACGTTATTTTACAGACAGACCGATCAAAGATAAACGCACTTGTAATGTTTTAAAGAAGCCCTCACTCTTAAAAAGAGAGCCAAGTCTAATAAAACATCCATCATATGTGTAATATTCTCAGTTACAATATAAGTATCTTTACGCCAACAGCTAAAGTCAAAGTTGGAGAAAGATATCCAAACCCACAGCGGAAATAAGTCCAATCTGAGCTTATGTTGTGAAGAATCTTTTACTATAATAGAGATGCAAAGGTACTTGTTTTCTGAAACACAACCGAAAAGAAAACACTGCCCTTTCTGATAAATGTATAATGAAATAAATGATGAAGACCATCTCAAAACTAAAAATAAAATTCAAAAGATGAAAAGGAACAGTCAATATTACACGAAACGTTGGAGCCACTCATCACATGTTCAAAAAATCTCGTGTGTGAAACTTCGTGGAATATTTTACTTTGTAAAGTCTTACGTCATCTTTGCATTTGATTTAGCGTTGATAAAGGTATAGGCCTAAACCGGGGTTTAAAAATGAGGAATACAGCCCTGACTGTATTTGAAAGTGAACATAGAATCTAGTTAACCATGTTCACATCTATCAATGTATCTTATCGCTTTAATGAATGCATCATTTTTAGGAGGCTCTCTCAAGCATTTTTCTTTGATATTTTACGTGTAGGACCAGACTGTAAATATCAAGACTTCAGATTTCATTTTGATAACGGATTGTGAGTTGGAGGACCGCACTTAAATAAGCACTACATTTAATTGACTAGAAAGGTTGACTCAGCAGTAAGTTACACAGGGCCACAAAATACCCCCTGTAACTTGGGGGATAAAGTTGGTTAAAGTAGGGCAAATATAAGCCTAGGCATACAGCCTTCTATTCGCCTATGCCTAGTGCTCATGCCTGATGAAGTATCGTTCAACACAAATCGCTCCAACTCCACGGAAGCTCTCTATGAATGCAATGAGATTAACAAATAAACATGCTCCTCTTATTTCCAACGCGCTCTTAGACCCCATTCCCAGAGATTAGTTCGATCCAACTAGATCGACCTAACTCCCTGTCGGTTCACGCTAAATAGCTGTCAGCCGAGCGGGTACGAAAGTAAATTACCCCCTTACAGCTTGTAGTAGGCGGGACGGACATTTAAGCCGGATTATCTGACAGTAATCTAGTGAGACTCCCCACGGTGATAGATCGATCTAAAATCTATGGGAATGCACCCTTATATCACTCGTTTTTCTGTATTCTACTCAACACCAGCAGGAGTAGTGTAAATCTGTTAAATTGACCGCATTCAGCGATAGTCCATTCGGAGTTGGACCGATCTTCGTAGAACAATACTTTCATTGCGAATGAGCCCGTACAGTACAGTAAGCACTGGCCTTAAATAGGGGTAACTATCTTTACACCCTAGCAGATTCGGTAGGCGTGGCAGACATGTAAGCCTCTTGAGCTGATAGCAATTTAGAGTGAACCCCCAGGGAATTAGGTCGATCCAGATGGATCGATCTAAACATGAGAACCCAGTCTTAGAGTCTAGACCAAATTTTAAGCTGAACTTCAGTTAAATCGTTACTACGTATACAGTAAATAAAATACTGTACCTGTTTTACAAAATAAGAAGCATTGTTACCGTTCCTGGCGTTTTATTCAAGCGAAATACCACGACTTTATCTCGGACACGAGTACTCCTCATATTTGGTACAAAGATTAAGACCAATTTTCATGCTGTGGCTCTTTTTGTGAAACAGTTCCCTGTTATCGGACATTGCTTTTAAGGCGAGCATGTTTTCGCTGAACTGAGACCACAAATTATACTCATAGCGTCACTGCAATCATATCATATGTTATATTAGTGGCATGTGTCATGTTTATAACGTATTTACTATTGGTCAGTTATACATTTTATGGGATCTTCGAAGAAATTAAGATGAGTCCTTTATTTTATTAAGTATTGGAATTAAAAACCTGTCACTTCGTTAATTAATTATGATATATAATCTCTTATCAGCGCTCCAATTACATTTGTCTGATGTAATGAAATACCACTCTCAGGTTCCCAAGGTTCTCTTTTTTAAATAATTTTTAATTCATTTACACAAGGATTAAGATTACTTGCACCACAATTTTTTGTTTTTGTTTTTGATGCAGGTGTACAAAATATTTTATGTCAATTTTTGATGGGGTTCAACGTTATTCTAAGAGCGTATCCACAAATATCTACTACGTGACCTGCTAATGTAGACATTCAGAGAACGTAACTTCATGTTACACAAGGCTTCGGGGCAATGGGAGTTTAATGACACACATGGAAATGTCAATGATGAAAAAAAAAAAATTCACTAACGCACACAAAACGCACAAATACAGAGGAATAATTGAATTACGCTTGTTTTCAAACTCGAGCTTTATCTTTGGTCCTAAGGGTAAATCTTTTTTACGATTTAGAATAAAAAGTAGTATAGTTTTCCTTTGATGTTGGTAACGAGGAAAGTTTACTTGATGGCACTAAGGACGATTAACTGACGCTGGCGATGGCTATATGCCCAGACACGGTGTTTTCTAGTAAAATAAGAAAGAACTGATACAGTGGTCGATTAAATCAGTCATTTAATGTCCCTGTTTAGTAAATAAGATCGGTTCAATTAATTTTGACCGTAATACCATTTGAGACACAAACACTACATTAAGAAGAAATTCTCGGCATACACGCTGTTTTTAAATCCACGTCCAAAATAGTAATAGAAATATTACATATCAACTTGTGATGGTGGGACACGAGGCGTTTGGATCAGGGAATGACGTCATAATTCTGATATGGACGACCTATTTGCCATAGTGTAGGCCCCAACCATCATTCTGTGACAAACTGTGAAAACCTACAAAATATAAGCAATATAAAAATGATAGGTATAATTCATTAACAATGCATTCCTCTACAGGCAGCCAGATAGTCGCATTTATATTGTTTAAAAGATTAAAAGAGATTGATGTTGTAATATATATTTTGATTGTTTATTCAAGAAAAGATGTGATAAATTAGTCGCTAAATCTGTAAACAATTTACTTTGTATGGACTGATTTCTTACCGTTGGGACATCTTTTAAAACCAGAGTTGGTTCCTGGTTTGTCCGTGACACGGCTAGGCAAACCAGTAGCAGAGCGCTTTCTAAAGCATCTTGAAGAAAGGAGAAAATGTTCTTTATTATTTTTAATTTGCCATAATATACAACAGTCAATTTTGCCTAGAAGTCACTGAGCAGAAATCAGATATGCCCTTTGTATTGAAAGTCGATCGCTAGATAGATATAAAGACAATCTGAATTCATGTAGGTTAGAAAATCAAAAGGAAGGAAAGAAAATAGGGAAACATAAAAAAATTATAGATAAGGTACAAATAAATATAACGTGTTGATTTATATCCAGTCATCCATAGTATTCATTACTTTATTTGATTCAACGTATTGACATTACTGATGCATTACCTTCGACTTCCAGAGACGTAGGAAAGACTCCAAAATTGGCACTCGGCAGTCTCGGCACAGAGTCTTTGACATTCGTCGTTACCTAATGAGTAACTCGCGTAATCTACGGGTACGCCCATAATGTCCAAATCATTGCCAGGAAAGTCCGTGTCTCTGAACTCACAGTCTGTAAAATATCCAGTCACCTTTTTGCTAAAAATATTGCATGTTTCGAAAATTACAGATATATGTATATTTATATGTATATTCTCGAGATTGACATTTTCCCAGTATGAATGCCTGGTTCTTTGGTGGGCGCCATTTCTGTTACAATCCAGATGTTACATTGGAATGTTCCATGCAATTTATGGAGCATTTTCTGTTAAGAGTTCTTTTGTAAAATCGGACCCTGGATTTGTTAAGTGTGCTCTATTTAAGAACATGAAAATAATGCTTCGAAAGAAGGTAACAAAAGAAATATATTGCCTACCTCCAGGGCATTTTTTGAATCCAGAATCCAAGGACCAATTATTTTCTATTCGTCCCGGAAGTTCTGAATTTTGATTGCTTGAGCTCTTAGTCCAGCATCTGAGAAGATAACAATCACAATTTGATTTACAGATAAGTCTCCTTGATCTAAACTGACTCAAAAAATAAGACGTGCCTAGTGAAAGATTAGAACAAACTCAAGCTTTATGGTGAGAAAACATTGTCGTTACTTGACATCAAAAGTACACGTAGCTACGCGTGGAATTGGCATCTATCAATTAAAACAACGAACTCACACATTCCAGTATTGGCAGTTAGTCTAAGTAACACGAGGGATTGGCAATTATCAACTAAATAACGAACTCACACATTCCAATATAGGTGGTAAGTCCAATATTGACAGCGACTGTCCGCAGAGCAGTACTGTTGGCACATAGTTTCAGTGACGTTCTCAAACTTCTCCAAGTCATCCCACTTGAAATCAATGGACCGCAACTTGCATGGCGGCTCTGAAATATAATGATAATAATAATTATAATAATAATAATAATTTGGTTTTGGATATGGTAGACCTTGTTAATTAAGGAAAGGTACTGAAATCCCAACTCATTATTTTTCAATAATCTATATATCATATGGTCATCTATTGTCTTTTGTGTCTTTCAATACCTTGGACACTTGATAACTGACATCTCTGTCCCTTGGCGTAGGAGGGACAATCACAGTAGTAACCTGAGTAGCCGTACGAGTAGGTTTTACAGGTTCCCCCATTCAGACAGGGATTTGATACACATGGGTCATATCGTGGTGTGGCTGGCGATATAAAATAGCGAAACATTATAAACAATATATATAACCGATCGAACGGAGACGGTAGCTATCTCTCTACCTTATACAAATTCTGTGATTAAAAAGAAAAAACCTCACCCAAAAAAAAAAAAAAAAAAAAAAAAAAAAAAAGATAAAATAATAATAATAATAAAAATAAAAATAAAAAATAATAAAAAAGTGGTAAATTTATCTTACATTCGTAAAAAGACGAAGCAGTTGTTGTCTTTTGACCATCGGGTCCTGTAAAAGAAAAATGTGTTGTAAATGTTATATTGAATGGTTAAAAAATTGCAATCTGCAAATAATTAAGCTGGCCTCATTGAACTGGTCATATCCTAACTTAATTTGTTTTTGAGAATGACGGGGGGGGGGGGGGGGGGGGGGGGGGGGGGGGGGGGGGGTG